ACTAACTTATCACGCCTCAACGACTGAATCGAGAGCTCCTGAACTCTGATGGTGTCCTTGGAAAAGCTCCTGAAGGAGTAAAGTACCCGTGTGCCTTTAATCTGAACAGAAAGGAAATGTCGGCTCAGAGGAATTAAAACAAAGCGACTCATGCAGGACTCACGCCCGACCCACCTCCAGCTGCTGCCTCCCGAGCAGGTTTGTTCCCGGGGAGCTGCCCCAGGACGGTCCCCCCTGGTGCCTCCCTCCCCTGCAGCTCTTCCCACGCTGTCCCCAGTGTTGGAGCCTGGAAAGGGTGCAGGGAATCCCGGGGTGCAGGGAATCCACCTGCACGTGGCAGCAGGGCTCTGGCTGCCTCTCAGCTAAGGACCCACCCTAGTTATAAAAGCAGAGGCTTGGCAGGTATTAACCATTGCAGAAAGTGAGCTTGTGACACCAAGGAACGTGTGTCCCCAGCTGGCAGGGCTCTTATGCACGTTTTTGTGGAAAGATCTGCTTTTTCTGCCACTGGCTGAGGTGCATTTATAGTCTTAATGCTGTGACCTCTTCCACCTGATACTTAAAACCAAGCCTGCAGCATCCTCCTTGGCTTCTGCCAAGTATGGAAGGGGCAGAGTCCTCTAAAGTGTGTCCCCTCCAGCTCACCACTGGCACTGAAGCCTTCTGGTGCCAGCCCATCACAACAGGTATGGGGCAGCACAAGATGGAGCTTTTCTGCCTCTGACAAGGATCCCTGGGATAGGACATGGAAGCTGCTTAGCAGATCACACGTGCACTGCAGAGCAGGAGCTCAAACTTACCCTGCTCACAGGAGCGTCACCGGGTGTGACGGTGCAGTGGGGAGTGGGAGCATCTCATCCTGGAGATGATCCAGTAGAGTAGTGCTTCCTGACAGGAGCACCGTGTCAGGGCAGGGGGTATCCCATGACTCAGAGCAGTTTCCTGTCGAAGTCAGTTCTGTTTGTTTTCCAGGGATTGTCTTGCCCAGCCATCAGAGGCTCGTGGGCTCTGACACATCTCGGCACAGGCTGGTGCAGCTGCAGGCTAAGCTGGAAAGGCACTGGCAGTGCTGAGAGAATCTTGTCCCTCCCACTGGTCACAGAGGATTTCTCCCACATCCATAATCTATTTTCTGTAGAGCATTTTTACTGTTCTGCCTCCTCCATGTTTAGCAGGCCCTGCTGTCTTGGTGTGTCTCAATCTGTAACACATCTTCACTCCCTGGTGCTCAGGACGACGGTAACACGGGCAGGTACAGCCTGAGTCCCAGCAGGACACAGGGCTGTGTGTGGGATCCCCTGCTCCGAGCTCTCCTGTCCCTGAGCACCCAGCTGGTGACCCAGCTGCTTGCTTTCATGCTTTCATCGATTTGCAGTAGATACTCTAGGAGTGAGACTCTTCCCTGCTTTTGTTCTTGTTTGAACTTGCAGAGCCTGCAACTCCAGGTGATGGTTTGCACTGCTGGGGCAGCTGGAGGAGGAAGGGCTGGATCCAGGGGGTTTTGGTGGGTTTTGTTGGCATTTTTTGACGATTCATTCGAACAGCTTGTGGCTGAGGTAGCATTTTCCAGTCCTGCCCTTGTTGGTGGGGCAGAGCTGCCGTGTCCCGTGCTGTGCACTAATCTGGGGTGGAGCATCCCCAGCAGGGCTCTGCTCGCAGCCTGCGGGAGCGGTGCCGGCAGCTCCCGGCACGTCTCACCTCCCTCTTCCACTGGAAAATGTTCCAGTGTTTCTTCCCGCTTCCTTTTTGCTGCCAGCTGAGACAGGGAGGAGGCACCTTCGCTGCGGGAGGAGGAATGTGTGGTTAGGGCACTGCTGAGCCTGGGCAGGCGCGCCCAGCCCGGCACACCTCGGAGGCAGGAGCTCAGCCCACGGTTCACGTACTTGTAGCCTTAGGGACAATATTTTTCCAGCTCAGCCTGTGCCCTTTCTCTGAGCTCCTGATCCTCAGCTCACACGTGCCTGCGAGGCAGGTCACACAGCACAGCAGCAGGAGCAAAGACCCCCCAGCCATCTGACGTGGTCTGCTGAGCCCCTGACCAGGACGGGAGAGGAGGTGGGATGGTTGGGTCATTTCAGTGACTGGAAAGGGCTTGATTTTAGCTGAAATGCAGCACGTGAGCAGTGCCTGGAACACTGCGGGGTGGTGGGGGCTACTTGTGCTGCACCCCCAGCCACGTTCACCCAACAGTTGGCAGTTTGAATGGATTGGTTAAAATGACCTTACTTTGCTGACACAGTAAAAAACAATGAAAAGTGTGAGCCTGTTTCCATTAATGGTCACACAAAGCAGCAGTGACACTGAAACATGTCCAGTGCAAGAGAGCTCTGAATTAGGTCTGAAGTAGAGGAGAAGGGCTCCTCATCAGCTGGGCATGAAGGGGCTCTGCTCGCAGCCTGCGGGAGCGGTGCCGGCAGCTCCCGGCACGTCTCACCTCCCTCTTCCACTGGAAAATGTTCCAGTGTTTCTTCCCGCTTCCTTTTTGCTGCCAGCTGAGACAGGGAGGAGGCACCTTCGCTGCGGGAGGAGGAATGTGTGGTTAGGGCACTGCTGAGCCTGGGCAGGCGCGCCCAGCCCGGCACACCTCGGAGGCAGGAGCTCAGCCCACGGTTCACGTACTTGTAGCCTTAGGGACAATATTTTTCCAGCTCAGCCTGTGCCCTTTCTCTGAGCTCCTGATCCTCAGCTCACACGTGCCTGCGAGGCAGGTCACACAGCACAGCAGCAGGAGCAAAGACCCCCCAGCCATCTGACGTGGTCTGCTGAGCCCCTGACCAGGACGGGAGAGGAGGTGGGATGGTTGGGTCATTTCAGTGACTGGAAAGGGCTTGATTTTAGCTGAAATGCAGCACGTGAGCAGTGCCTGGAACACTGCGGGGTGGTGGGGGCTACTTGTGCTGCACCCCCAGCCACGTTCACCCAACAGTTGGCAGTTTGAATGGATTGGTTAAAATGACCTTACTTTGCTGACACAGTAAAAAACAATGAAAAGTGTGAGCCTGTTTCCATTAATGGTCACACAAAGCAGCAGTGACACTGAAACATGTCCAGTGCAAGAGAGCTCTGAATTAGGTCTGAAGTAGAGGAGAAGGGCTCCTCATCAGCTGGGCATGAAGGGGCTCTGGGTCTTCCACAGGTTCCCAAGCTGGTACTGGAACCATCCTGGTGTGATGATAAATAGACCTTTTGGAAATCTTGGCACTTTTCTAGATACTCAAACATGACCTACATTTCTTTAAAAATTTGTCTCTTCTTTGTCATTTCTCAGATCTGGGGAGTTCACAAGGTTGAATTTTGTAAATAATCCTGAAGCTCGTTTTGCTTAATTTGGTGTCTTGAGGAGTCCCAGGGCAGGAGAGGGGCTGGTGGCTCCTTCTGCCTGCCCAGCCCAGCGAGGAGCTCCAGGTCCCCTTCAGCCTCCACTCTGACATGGGGATGCACAGTGTGATTATAACTCAGGTGAACATCCCTAATGGCTTGAAATTATCAGTTAATGTGGATGGTCAAGTGTACATGCTGCCTTGTCATGGTGGTGCTAAGCAGGGTACACAAAACCTGTCTGGGAGGGTGGGTAAGGAGTGGGGTACCCTGACACCGAGCTGTGCAGCAGCTGGTTCCGAGCTGGCTGCTGCTGCCCCAGCCTGGGCCACCCCTGTCGCAGGTCCCTGGGGGTTATCCCGGAGGGGCTTTCACGGGCTGGTTACCTGCAGAGCAGCTGGTTCCCCCCACCCTCATCCTCCTCAGTGACTTATGTCTGCAGCCGCGCACCCCGTCTGGGAGCTGCCAGTGAGCTGTGTGGGAA